AGCACAAAACCCAAAGTCCTGAGCAAGCCGATTCCTTCCTGAACACCTGACTGTAATGCAACAAGCTCAGCCTCACAGGAGGAGAGCGTCACAGCTGACTGGTGCCTGCTGAAACACTTCATCAAACACTGTTGAAAGATGAAGCAAGTACCTGAAACAGAACGACGTCCAGTACTCTTCATGGGTGCAAACCCAGCATCTGTGTACACTTCCAAACCTTTCACATCGGGCAAAGCAAGCTCTTCTGATGGAAAACGCAATGCGACATCCATGTCAGTCATAAGGTACCTGAGTACAGCACGCAAACATTTTTCATGGGTCTCAAACGGTTGTGCCTGACCAGTTCCAAGCATGCTGACCAAAATCAACAAGTCTTGACGAGTTTGGCAATACCATGACAAACGACCTAGAACTCTGCGAAAACGTGCATGTCCTTCTACTGACAATGGTTGGCTTCCTTCCTGTTCGGGACGCAAATCCGGAAATGTTGCGCTTCCCTTCTTCAAATCAAACTCAGCAAAAGCTTCATCCAAGTACGTTGGATCCACCTGCATGTACAAAGCAGATGAGCCTGGCCTTCGAAAGATACTTCGACCAAGTGTCCCCCTTTCAAACCAACGCGGCCAGTCTCTCGAACCTTGACATGAGTGGAGTCATGAGTGTCTTGAGAGCTGATTCCGAAGTGGTGGCAACAAGCAAATCATCGACGTACGGCATGATGACGATGGGTGCCTGATCTTCGCCAACCATTCGACCAACATACAAACAAGACTCCACAGTACCTGAAACTACTCCAATGCTCTTGACAATAGATGAAAAGAAAACGATCCATGCCTGAGAGACAATTCTCAAACCGTTCATGCCTTTCTCAAACCGTTGATTTCCAACACTCCACGCCCCTCAGGCGACTCCAAGAACCATCCTGAGTGCCTCAATCCTCTGCGTTGGGCCAGAGATGCCCATACTTCTGGTAGACTGTCCGCTCATGTGGCTCTTGGACGTGTCCTGGTGGGTTAGTTAGTCGCTGGACATGGTGTTGGGGTTGCATTTGGGGGTACCTTGCGGGTTGGATCTGAAGACTCAAAGTCTTGTGATTGAAAGTTCTCTGTCGGAAGTAGGGCGGTACTTAGTACCATGGGGGAAGGTTTTGGCGGCAGTAGGTTCAAAGTCCTTTTTGGCCCTAGTTTCTAGAATCACAAAGGAAACAACATGTGTGGAGGAATCTGTTGCAGGAGTTGAATAGCAATTAAGGAGAGCTGTGATGGTGGTTTGTTTTCAATAATGCCGAGGTCGTCAGAGTGGATCTTGCGAGCCGCTGGCAGCAGTTGCACAGGTAACACGGTAGGCATAACCGGAGCCAGTTTTTTTTTCCCCGTCCAACGCCGTATGGCTTCCGCCAGGTCGTCCAACATGTTTCTAAGCATGTTGCATTTGAGACAAATTAATTAATTCACGCAGGAGCCGAAGCTGTAGTGGCCGCAAAAGTAAACTGGTAGAGGACCGAAACATAGTCCTACCCTTGTCACGTTACCAGAGAACAAGAACCGAAACACCAAGAACCAGAAGCAAACAAAAACACACACAAACAAAAACAAACCACACAAAAAACAAACAACCACACAACTACAAGGCAGTGACGTGACAGGTTGCAGTTATGGGTGAAAAAAAAGATCTGTTAAGGCAGGAGGTGATAGCTTAGTATCATCTCAGCGCATGCAGATGACAACTTATGTGTCATATTCGCAGGCCCATAAAGCAAATCAACAACAGGAAAAACCACAAAATCACCATGGGCCACAGCAGGGTGTAGTAAGCAACAAAACTCAATGCGGAAACCAGGGATCCCCCCAGCCAGGATCCCCGAGATCACAGAGAGCAGCCTTCACGGCATGACATTACACCCAGACACTTTGAAGCAAACACCGACAAAGCCGGGTCGCAATAAAGTGATGAGAAAAACTACCGCAGTGAAACAGGAGAGTGAAACATGATCTAAGGTGAAAATGACATCGAGGCTACGGCGCTCAGGGCACACTCAGAGTCCGCTCAGATCTGCTTTTCCAATCATCATACTGCATCAAACTTGCGGGTGCGGTATGCACCACTGTGCTAGTGCTCTTGCAACTCGTCTTCATGGTATGGGAGATTGTACTCGTCATCAGTGCGTGGTGATATCTGTGCATTGAGTTCTTCATATGAGGTGCTGGCTCCTTTGGCTGTATGGTGAAGCTGTAGTAAGGCTTTCTGCGCCTGGGTTACTTCGGAACTGGCAGATATGGTACAGCTATCCAAGATAGAGGGTCAGTTGAGTGATGGACTTTGCAAGACGATGGACAGCGGCGTCTTTGATAGGAGTCGGTCGCTCCATTCAAAAGAAGTAAGTTGTCTACAGGTTTGTAGGTTGACGTAAAGCCTCAGGGCATTCAACTGGCACGCACCGTGTTGCAACCTTGGTCGAGAGAGGGCATGTGGAGGTGTGGTGAAGATCATTTGGCCGGTTGAAAAATTGGTTGAGCGAAGGTCAAACGGCGACGGGCACCATGGCGAGATGTGCTTTGACATCGCACTACACTACCATGCAACAATTAAGGTGAACAACACGAACAAAACAACTCAAAACCCCTGAAAAGGATGATTATAACCGCCCCTCACCGCCTCCCGTCGCATACTGGCTCCGGCATGCTGACAGCAAAGCTAGTCGCAGCGGGCAGTAATCAACCATGAGTACCCCATGGTGACACATAACCGGAGTCAGTTGCCTTCAAGTGCATGAATTGAAAATTCCGGCTTTGGATCAAGGCCAACTTGTTTGCTTGATAGTCACGGATGCGTTGTGCTCGTGCTTGAACGACCTGGCGGAAGCCACACGGCGTTGGACGGAAAAAAAACGGATGCGTTGTGCTCGTGCGAGGGTTTGAACTTGTTCACGTAGTGCTTGGTACTGAGTGCGAGCTTGTTTTCGGGTGAACAACTCGAGACCATGTTGGCTGAGTGGCACAGCTTGGCACATGCTTGAGCAAACTTACCTGTTTAGTGCACCGTCGGATGTTCCAATGACCTCGCCGCGAGACTCTGCGAGGCTGGGAATCTAGGCAACTTAGAAGCCAATGTGATGGCGGGCAGAGCATTACTGGGTGTCCTCCAGTTGCCAGATACTCAGCATCGGTGTGTCATATTACTTGTACATGAAAAGGTGATGTCTAGCGGAACCAGTAAGAACCCTGCTCAGCGAGCTATCAAGCGCATTGCCCCGAAGTTGCTGGAGGTCGTTATCGTCTCGCTACCCATTGCTCGGACCTTTTGTGGGCGGCTCTTGGACCAATATCTCAAAACAATGGGTTACTTTGATCCTGCAAAGGACTGGCCGAAACCCATCGAAGACTATGCGTCCATGACCATTGTATGGGAGGAGCTAGCTTTTCTGGGAGACACACGCAGCCGTCATGAACTCTTGGTGTTTGCGCAGGCTAACCAGTCGCGCTTACCACTGGCAATGGGCATCGTGCAACCGCATATATCTGTGCGCCGCATGGCCAGCGAGCGCAAAACGCAGCTGACGGATGCATTAGTCAGAATATTGACACGGTTTTTGACACCAGCCACAATATCAATGGATGGGGCCCATGACAGTTACTACTGTGAATATCTCCTTCCTTTAGCAGCCCACGGTGATGGACATGTCTTGACAGTTTCCATTGCATTGTTACTGGCCATTCTGACAGGAAGATCTGACTTATGTATTGCCGGGGTTTTTGGTGCTGGCAAAACGCGGTCCCTTGCGGTTTTGCTCATTACCCTGAGCTGCAAGTTGTTCTCTCCGAGATTGCCAAAATAACCTGGTCTTTGGTGTAACGACCCAGCAGAAGAACCAAAAAAACTGTTCCCTCGGTTTGGTTTTTTGAATTAAGAGAAAAAGTTGTTCTTGATGGTGACAATCGGGTTACCATCTTTTTTTCTCGAGCTCTAGCCAACGATGAAGCAATGTGACAAACACATGGGAGCCCAGCAACGCACCGGACATGGCGCAAAGATGTGACTACTTGGGGAAATGAATGAGAATAAATGAATGAGACAAACAAACAAAGATAGATTGATCGATAGATAGGTAGATAGGTAGATAAGAAGATAGGTAGATAGACAGACAGACAGACAGATAGATAGATGGACAGGTCGATAGACAAATAGATGGATAGATGGACAGATCGATAGAAAAATTCACGGATAAATGGATGGATGGATAGATGGATGGATACATGGATGGATGGATGGCAGGATGGCTGGATGGATAGATAGATGAATAGATGAATAGATAGGATATAGGATAAGATACGGTAGGACAAGATAAAATAGGATAAAATAGAATGCTGCAAATGTGATAAAATAGGATAAAGCCAGACTTGACTATATAAACCAACTAGACTAGATTTGATTTGATGATAGATTCGTAGATATGCACAAATATGTGCAATCAAATGTGATTATACACAGCCAAATACATTATATATATATATAATATACAAATATAATATTCAGGTACGGTACAATATCATAGATATCTTGCTGATATGCTTATATACTTATATACGATTATAAACACAGCTCTTCACGATGTGCATAGACAAAGAAGTTGGAAGGAAGAATGACAGGACATCTGTTGTCCACGCGTAGTACTGGAGAACTAACAGCAATGACGCCCCCGAAAGGTAACGGTGAAACTATCTTTAGACTGGAAAATGTCCACCACGTGGCCTCCAAACAAAAAACTGTTCCAACACAATCAGTGAAACTATTTTCGGTCTGGCAACAGAAGACCATTACAAAACGTACACGCGTAGACAAATTAGTGTTTGACTGCAAAGGATTGCTGCCTACGAGGCGATTCTGTGCTTTAGCGACCGGTGTTTGCTGGTGTTGTTGCTGCACTCAAGCCTTTGCAAAACCACCTTTGAGGCATTCATCGCAATACCCAAAGACCAAACTTGTTAAAACACAAGCCCATTTCAAGAAACCCCCATATGCGAAGCTGGCGAAATATTCAATTGAAAACGGGTTTGAAATAGAGTCCAGAAACCCAACTGAAGCCCCTGGTCATTTGGCGCGCAACACACGTTGAAGCGCCCATCCGCTGCCACCCAGACCTCCTTAGCCAAGAAAGGGCAGGGAGCCCCTGGCGCCAAATCTTCAGCGGCTGTTTCGGGTATCACATGGATGCCCTCCAACAGGATGCCTCAGCCATCAGAAATCATCTGAAACGGCTACCTGTTTTCAAAGCCATGAATTCCTGAAACGCAACAATACCCCCGTCAGAGGAAATGCAAGCAGTGGATTTTGAACGCACCTTCCACAGGCTTTGACGAACATAGACTAGCAAACTAGCCCATTGCAACATGTGAGAAAGAGCTGGCTATCCATCCAAAAAATGCCCAAGAACCCAGGCAGCAGCATGAATTCTACGAAGTAAGGGAGCACGCTATTTTGTCAAGTCACTGTTGGCGTTGGCAATCTCTTCTGCAAGTGGTATCATCCTATTCCAGCGGCTTACAGCATCAGCATCTCTCTTCATGGAGCGGCCATCCATCTCTTTCCAATGCGACCAAAGATGATGGCCCTTGACCCTGTTGATGCCCAACTCAGCTGCAAGACGAATGATATCTGGTATCTCGTGGTAGTTCTCCTCCAGAAATGTCAGCTGGAGAGTGAGGCGGCAAAAGTGTCCGCCGGCTTTTACAAGAGCATCCCTCTCAGAGACCAAGACCTTCACGTTCTCCAGTACATCCTCAAACGTCTGGCCGCGCATGATGGACTCTTGAGTGCCTTTGGTCGCTCCATTCCAGGAAATTTTGATGTCCGATGTGATGGGAAGCACTTTTGGTGCCCAACCTCTTGCGCCAAGCTTTGGAAAAGTGCCATTGGTGGTCAAATTCAAACGGAGGCCTGGCAAGCCTTGATCCTTCAAGCGTCTGTCTTGCTGTTGGATCAGGGATAGCATCTGCTCGAAGTGCTCGTACAGCAACGGCTCTCCCATAGTTGAAGGTATCACCTCCAATGCAGTGGAATCTCCCGGGGCTTTGAGATGCAGATCAACAAATTCTTCAAGAACTTTCTCCACCAGCTCGAATGGCATCCGTCTCGGACTAAGTCCCTTACGTTCTGCCTTGACTGTGGAGTACTGCGAAAAACCTTCGCACATGTCGCAGTGTAAGTTGCAATCATCTGGATTCGTATCAAAGGTGATACGCCATGGCAACAGCTTGCCCTGCCGCACATTGGACGACCTGCGATGCTGAATGGCTCTCCTATAGAGCTCCACCATCTGGTCGACATGGTCTGCTATGGGTGGGATCTCACCGTTCTTTGACAACCTCAGGCGTCTTGCTGTCTGTCAAGCCTTGCAATTTTTAATTTCCATATAGTTTGGACATGTTTGGGCACTAGTTTGAACTTCTTTTTTGGGGCACAATTGCGAAAAGCTATTCGCTCTTCTTGTATAAGCTAGCAATCCAAGGCGCAAGTAGCCTCTGTTTGCCAAAGATTTTGCCATCGCTGGATCCAAAAGGCATCGGCGCATCTGCTCCTCCAGAGCCTTTGGGCTCCGATGTTTGAAGAGAAGACCATTGACCTGACAACACATTGCTATTTGGCAGTGTGTCAAAACCTTGTACCCCTGGTGAACATCAAAATAGCTGGTAAATGGATGTTCATCCCCCTAAAAATGGTATTAATAGGTATTGACCCATACCCATTTGTGAATTATGTGTGGCTCAATGATGTTTGCTGGAGCTCTACCCAAAATTTCCCATTGCATCCCATTGCAACATTCAGCACCAACACCTCTCCTTCCGTATCCTTGGGAACGCATTCCGTGCGCGCCTCGTGGTGAACATATTCTGCCATCCCTCCAACATCCGCGGTAATCACCAGCACTCCTGCTTGCAGTGCTTCATGGATGACCAGGGGGCTATTCTCCAGCCATATCGAAGGTACCACAATGGCATCGACCTTGTTGAAGACCTTGGCGGTTAAGAAACCCTATATACATATCCAAAACAAACGCAAAGCATCAAAAAACAATTTGAAGGGGGTCAACCATTGTCGAGGACTTGAACGGATGATATGACAGTCAAATCCAAACCTAGCTGCATCCTCCACGATGCGTTCATTGCAATATTCGCCACACCAGTCCAAGTTGGCGGAAGCTGGGCTGGAAGGCGGTAGGAGGCTCTCAGCAAGACGTCGCAGGGCCTGTTGCAATCTTATCAAAGCAAAGCTCGGTGTCACTTGCAAAACACAAAGATGGTCGAGTCTTCTCAAACACGGAGTTCCACACACGAATTAGTTTATGCTGCTGGGAAAACGCCATGATTGAAATGAATGGTCTTGGGTGTTTGGGGTGCCCAAATTGGAGGAGCACTCATGGCTTTGAAGTTGAAGATCAAAATCAAGCTGACAGTTGAAAATTAAATGCCGACTCCTTGCTCCACTGCACACATCGCATAAACGTGGAAAAACATGGATAAATCACCCTCAGGTCCGAACTGCAGTGCTCTGCCCCAAGGTTCTGCCATAGATCTTTAGTCCTTGGCATTTGCCAAGTCATCAGGCACTCCAGGCTGTGAATTTTCCACATCTTGCAGGTTCCACGCAGTCAGCCAACCTCTCCCACATTGGTTTACCGCCATCCCAGGTCCGAGCGACTGGTTGCTGGCAATGACTTGTCCTGCATCAACCCGGCAAAAGCTTCGATCAGGTGCTGGACGCCTTTGCTTTCCTGTCAACGCGGAAAATATAACAGGCCACAGGGACAGCAATGCTATTGGAAAGCAATATGAAATTGAAAAATGAAGATGGCTACCTCCAGTATAGTATAGCATACTAAGCATAGTGAGCAAAGAGTTGCAATGACCCGGATCCCCCTATTTGGTTCCCAGCATTTCCCAGCTTCCCACCTTGTGAGTGCCGATATATGCGAAGGTGAAGGGCTCATCTGCCTTCCTGCTCCTTCCAGTAAGACGCTCAAGGTCAAAGCCGTAATCGCAATAGACGACTTTGGACTGAGGGGCAAAACCTGCATCAGAAAGCCATCACGGCGCCAGTTTGATTCTAGGACCCAACCACGAAGATCTGCAAAGAGGGTGGCCTCTCTTTGCAGCTATGTAAAACACAGGAATGAAAAATACTTGTATATAGATATTCAAATCCTCCAACTTCTACAAACAACGGCATCCCGCATACTTTGACACCAAGAAGCCTTCTTGGATGAATCGGTTCTTCAAGTGTTGCGCCGGAGCAATGAACAAATCTATCTTGTCGCAAGTTGCTCGTGTGAAAGCCATCCGCTTGGCAATCCAGGAGGTCCAGTACTTCTCGTCTTCACTGGATGATGGGTCTCCAGACCCGATTCGTGGCACATAGCAGCGCTGTGAGCACTTTGTGTCTTCCTGTCCATCGCAGACTGGCCACAGGTCGCTGTCGGTATCACCAGTAAATTGAATGAATTGCCCACGTGGGCAGTTCAGCCAGTAGTCGTGCAAGGTGTACAAGAATGGTATGTTTTTTTTTGTCACCACATCCACCAGCGACATGGACAGGTGGTTCAAATGCCCACAATGCACCACATCTGGGTTGAAATCCTCCACAATGGCTTTCACGGCTTCGTCTACTTCCACAACACGATAGCGGTCACGGAAGTTTGGAAGGTTGATGATTTTCAGAGGAACTTTCCCGTCAAAGTCATCGCGCATCCGGAAGTAGGGCGCAATGGTGTCCTCTTCCCGGCAAAACACCAAGACATCATGACCATTATCCGCCAAGGATCTTGCCAAAGTTTGGGTGTAAACTTCAGAGCCAGCATTGTAGAGAGGAGGATATCCATGAATGATCAACAAAATGCGCAGTTTTGCCGTTGAGTCATGGTGACCTGCCATGTTTCCACTTGCCAAAGGGGTTGCTGAGCGAAATTTCTTCCTTCTTGCCACAAAGCAAGCGCTGCAAGCAGCCGCTAGCGAGAATGGATTGTGTGGCTTCACACTAGGGCCTGGAACAGCACGAGGCACATGCGAGGGCCATTCCACATGGCGGTGTCTTACCGCGACGATTGGAATGGAAAGCATTTTGCCTGAACAATAGTTTTTTCTTTTCTCCGAGAGACACTACGTGTCGACGTGCACGGAGCCAAAGGGACTTCAGATTCCTTGCCGCCCAACTGCAAGACGGAACCTTACTGACTCTCAAGCTCTCTCACGCAACAAAGTCCTGAAAAAGAGAGATTGATCTCAACTGGTTCTTGGAATGATATCTCATGGAAGCCAACAGTCTGACTGCACGCAAGACACTGCACGCACCTTTTAAAAACCAAACGCGCACTTGCTTTCTTGCGAGCCTTTTCACTAGAATGTACAACACGCAAGTAGCATCCAATGAATGATTGAGGCTAGCATTTGGGGACTCTACTATCCTGGGTTGAGTTCAAACCCTTCTAATCAAATCCATCGGGATTTTGCTGCACAAATTCCCAATGTGAAGCTAAAATTTCAGAAAGGCTTCTATGAGCGCGCCAACCAAGGACTAAATGTGCCCTGCTGGGGTTGGCCACAGCAAAGGGAGCGTCTCCATCACGCCTTTCAGAAAAAATATGCGGCAATTTCCGCCCGCAAACGGTTTCAAAGGCTGACAAAACCTCCAGGACAGTGTGACCATGCCCGGTACCCAAATTAAATGCATCAAAACCCTGGCTGTTCTTCAGGTGTTCCAATGCTGCTACATGAGCCTCTGCCACATCTTCGATGTGAAGATAGTCCCTTATAGCTGTCCCATCCACAGTGTCATAATCTTTTCCAAAAATCTCCAAGTTTGGACGTTGCCCAAGAGCTATTTGCCCCAAACGAGGGATGAACATGCATGGGGACAATGCATGGGGCACTTCGCCGAGCAAACCACTGTTGTGTGCTCCGGCTGGATTGAAATAACGCAGCGCACAGCCATTCCAGTTCCTTCCGTCTTCAATTTTGCATTGCAAGATCTGCTCCTGTTTCAACCTCAGGATTTTCAACCCAAAACAGCGGAAAAGAAATCATGCATTTTTTCCATACACGTCTCACAATACCGACTTGGGGACACCAGCTGGTCCGCAGCATGATGAAAGATCAAACATACAATTTGTGAAACGCGTTAGCTTTTGACCCAAGGCGCCTGCGACAGTCGAGGTTGCGTATATGAGGCAGCGTGCAAATTATGTATCACAACACAGCGTACTATACACTGGATGCATTTACACCCGTGATTCTGGTGGTGTGATACCTACATTCTATTCTTCCAATAGTCCGGCTCTCAGATGTTCTTCTGCTTGTGCGGCTTCCTTCAACCGCTGTTTCTCCTCTGCTTTCTGCTTGCGGTATTTCTCTTTAGCCATCTTAGTGATTTGAAACTCTGCAGTGGCCTCAATGCTCCATTTGGAGTCCTTCATAATCCTTCGTAGGTCATTTGAATTCATGTCTTTCGTCAGTGCGTCTACCAGCATGATAGACGTGTCTATCCAGCGAATTTCGTCTGGTAATTCCTCCTTGAGTTCGTCCAGCTCTTCGTTGTTTTCATCAAACCACAAAAGTTGTCTCAAACCTGTAAGGTCTATGGACAGTCTCTTGTCGTCGACCTTGCCGAGACTGTTGCTTCTCAACTGATCTCCAAGTGATTTACAATTTGTCAGCCACAAATGTCTCATGAAAGATCTGGTCTTCTGTTCCCAGTTTTGCAGTGATTCCAAGCTACCGTGAACATCTGTCAGAATAGCTCTGATCATCAATCCTTCCTCTACAGCTGTAACTCGTTGCATATGTTTCTGCTTGAAGTGTGTTGCGACAAACTCTTCGGTTAGTGGTTGATTGCCAACTGATTACATGAAAACTTGTTTCTTTCTTTTCCCAGAAATCTGGGTTTGCCAAAATGGTCATGCATGCCCTTTGACTTTTATGATTCTGCGGTTTGCCCTTGGGATATTCTGTTTCGTTGCTCCTTGATGCATCCGATATAATCCGATACTGTGACAAGTACCATGCTCTTCCAGTCAATTGCATCTGACTTGTACACCAATCCATGGTTGGCATGTTGTTTTACTTCCTGTACAGCGTCATTGGCATATACCAAGTCCTTTTTATGGTCGCGTTGCTGCATCGTGACTGCAACTTAGACACTTTGTAAGACAAATCCGGTCTTGCTTGCCTGCTACCCGGGCAAGTTCACCGACCACGCTTCTGAGCTGTGATCTCTCTCTTTCTGTAACAGGAGTTTCTTTCTTCACGCCTGTTCGGTATGATATCTTCTCGAGTCTTTCCGTCGTGTCCTTGCATGTCACTACAATAGAGAAATCCTCATGCTGTTTGATCTCTCCTCCACAGAATCTGATTGTGCCTGATGATATTTTGGAATCTTCCACTTGAAACGCTTTCTGAAGATTCTTCATAAACATATGTTGGCACAATCTTTCACTTGAAACGCTTTCTGAAGATTCTTCATGATATGTTCATATCCAGGCATGCATGCATAGATGAGATCGTCTACATGTGAAGCCAACATGATCTTTGGCTCTCCATTCTCACAAACGTAGAACAATGCAGGACTGATCTTGCAGGCTTTCAGTCCCGTGTGTCTTGCTTCTGATCTCAATCTCTTCCAAAAAAGTCTGCCACTATCTCAACCTCCATAGATGGGGCAATTTCCTACACACATTCTACCTTCTGGCTCTCCATGAAAATATGCATTGGTGATATCGAACGTTGCCACTCGGAATTTCATGCTGGAAGCCCAGCTGATCACCAAATTAACTGCTTCCAAGTCTGCTGTTGGACTGTCTGTTCTGATTCCTTGTGTGGTTTCCTGATCACCTCTTTCAACAAGTCTACTTTTGAATTGGATTTGATGTTCTTCACCTTCTCGCTTAAGGTGCAAATTCTTGTCTGTGTCTATCCACTGCGTATCTATTTGGTGTATGACCTCCTTGTAGAAGTTTCTGGAGCTCTTCCTCCTCAATTGGTCTAATAGCCGTAAATCGCATCCATTTCCGCCATTCTTCTAAGCGCGATTTATTGATACCTTCTTTGATCCAATCTGGCTCCTTGGAGTAGTTGAATTGTTTTGCAGTCGCTTTTCTCTTGCCGCTCTTTGAGGTATCTGTCATTCTTTCTGCCAAGAACGAAATTGCATGTTGCTTGGTCTGATCCTGTTCTGTGACCTTCTCGTTCAGAATGAAAACAGTCTTGCCAATCCATTCCGTTTTGACATTCTTGTTTTGACCGTCTCCCCAGGAATGTTGGATGGTTTGTGTGCTACCATCTCTATCGGTGAGGTTCGTGACTCTCACTCCGCTCAACTTTTCCGGACAGGCATCGGTCGAGTCTGGACTGAATAATGCTGTCCGTGGTGTGTCATGAATGCGTACCACCACTCCTGTCTGCAAAATGAGTCCTACTCCATCCACCTTCAGCAAGTTCCACTCCAGGTCCAGTGGTCCCTGTTCTCTGAAACATCTCTATCAACGGACTGGGTTCGTTGCTTGCCCGTGATTGTGAAGCGGTAGAATCCACCACAGGTACCTCCTCCTGAGGTTCTTGTGATGAAAATCTTCTGCGGATGGAAATGGGAACATTTGCTTGATCATTGTGTTGTTCTTCTCTGGATCTCCTCCTTGATGGAGGTACTATTTCCATACCAGGCCCTTCCACGGTCACATCTGTTTGAATTCGAGCCCGTCTTCGAGCCCGTCTCTGGTGTGGTGGTGTGTCTTCGAGTTGTGGCGTTTCATCATCCGACATGCCTTCGATTTCTTGGGGAGATTCATCTCCCCCTGCAATTGGGTTGAATGGTTCTGTTGCGTCAATGAACCCTGTTCTTCTGCCCAGTGCAATGTCAAGTCTACCCTGATCTTTGAGATGTTGATATGTCAAAGCTTCTGCCGCGTTGACTGGCCTCAAACGATCCACTGCTACACATGCCGGCATTCCTTGAACAATGATCCATACCAGCTTTGCTCCTTCGAAACCTATGATACGACCTGCTGTCGTCCATCCTGACTGATCTGTCTTGAAACAAACTAAGTCACCTACGCTATACAATTGAGGCTTCTTTTCTCAAGAGTGCTCTGGCGACTCGTTTCGAAAGATCTTCTTTGATGAACACTCTCCGGGCAGAGTCGCGGATTGACATCTGTTTCCCAAACTCGTGGCTCTCATCTTGGGCATTCTGCAATGCTCCAAGATCCATGTGATCGCTTGTCATACTGCCTAGGGAGTTTTCCAAATACCCATTGCATTGGAGTGAACCCTCGAACTCTACTTTGGAAATTCTTTGTGTACAACGCCTCAGCGAGAATCATCTTAACTATGTCGTCACCTGAAGCTTTGAGTTCATTGATTACTCGATGAATAATTCCCTTCAAGATGGCTCCGCGTCTTTCTGTTCTTCCCAGCTGTTCCGGCGATTTCACTCCTATGGTTCGGAACTGCACACCTCGTGCCGTCAGGCCTCGTGGGAAATCGCCTCTGTTATGCCATCCTCTCTCAGTAATGGCTTCTTCCAGAAATCCCATGTTCTGCGTCCACTTATCGTTGAACATTTGGTAAACACAGTTTGGAACTAACCTGTCCGCCTGTCGTACTGACGATGGCTGCCTGTGGTAAAGCGTACCCAGACACAGGAAACTGAGTACACTGTACCTCTTGCCATTGCTATCTTTGATTTCGAATATGTCTATTCCAATTGACTGGTTGAACTGTATGTCCTCGGCAATGTGCTCTTGCGGCTTTGGTTTCTCATGTTCACAACCGTCACATCTTATGAGCTTGGCCGCTTTGAAATACTCTGCCCGAGATCCTGATGCTCTGAGTATCTCCGTGAGCACTCGGCTGGGACAATGACCAAATTGTCTATGTAGTTTTCTGACTGCTGTCCCCGCCTGTCTCGACAGCTTCAACCACTGTTGTCTTCTCGTGGTTTCTTCAGCTGTAACAGTCCGGTAACTGGAGCTGTTCCAACACCTCTTCTTCCTCGTCAAATGCCTTTTCCAGCTCTTTGACATCAGATCTTGCAACTGGTACGTCTCCCGACTCCTCCTCGTCAGGGAAGTCAATGGTTCCTGCTTCTTCTCTCTCTCTCTCTGCTTCGTGGCTTTCTGCAGGATAAGCTTGCTGCATCATAGACTTGTCCAAAACGGACTGTGAAACTTGATTGAACACCTCGTTGACGGCGTTATCCTTGGATATGTCATTGGCAGTTTTCGGCGCATGGAACTTGTGTCCTTTCTTGATGCCCATTGGCATACAGGGTGAAACGTTGTCAAATCCTTGCTCCAGGTGCTGGTATCCCAAGGTCCGTTCCACCTGGTCAAGTCTGTGATTTGAAGAGCGTCTGATTGGAAGTTGAACTGAGGAGTGATGAAGCATGAATGCTCCGTCGTCTCATTTGCTGTGAGGCACATCTCCTCAAATCTTTTGTCGGTCCTTCTCGTTGGCTTGATGATCTATCACTCCGATCAGGTTGATGTGCTCCTTCGTCATATTGGCCTGCAACTTCGCCATGCTGTGGTTGTCCTTGACCTTGAAGACGGTTCCGTGGAAGTTCGGTCCTTCGGATGATCGGGTAAATTGAATTCCATTCACTTGTCCACATGCATGAATGAAGCTCTTGTCTTTGGCACGTTCATGGTTACATCCTGTGCTGTGTCCATTGGTTTCTTCGCATGCAAGTCAACCCCCTTCCCAACATCAGCGGCTGCAAGCGCCATGTAGTGCTGCGCTGCGCTCTGGTCTAGGCTCAGAGTGCATCCTTTCCCTGTTGGAAATTGGGTGACACTGCAAAACAGGCTAGTTGCCCGATGGTCGATGCTCTCGGCAGGAATCAGAAACGCCATGACATAGTCCATCTTTTAACCTTCGAATTCTGTCTCGAAGTCTGATGGCTTCATCGACTCAATCCCAACCCAATCACCATCGCCCTTCTTGGCGAAACTGAACTTGAGGCTAGTCGACAACCATGGTGCCACATTGAT